ATACTTTAGTTCTCTGATGGCTCTATGGGGCCAAATCATCATGAAAACTGGCTGTCTAGGCTCCGTAGGTGCTCTCACTTTTCTGATCAGCAAATAACCACAAATAATCACTTCTTTTTTCATCTTCAACAAATACTTTAGTTCTCTGATGGCTCTATGGGGCCAAATCATCATGAAAACTGGCTGTCTAGGCTCCGTAGGTGCTCTCACTTTTCTGATCAGCAAATAACCACAAATAATCACTTCTTTTTTCATCTTCAACAAATGAGACAAAGTGGCCACAAGTGAGATAAAAATGGAGAGGAGAAATACTGTGACAAGTGGTTACAGGTATCACATTTCTCCATGCTTACAGTTATATTTGCATGGCTCAGTTCTTTTTTGAAAAATTCAAAGACATTGAGAATCTGATGAAAATCTTCCTTTTCTCAAGAAAACAATGCAGATACACATTCATCCATCCAACCATCCGGTTAGCACAAAATTCTGGGACATTTATAGATCTTAAGATCTAACCCATGTGCCCTAAGCATAGATAATTAAGGTATTTGAGAGAGTACAGAGTAATTTATTAAAGTTGAAAGAAGAAAAATTGACCATTAAATTAGGAATAAATTTATACTTCTTGGAAACCAAGCACCAACTGTCCCCAACGTCTTACCAGCAGCTCTATCCCTTACTGCTCCTCCTGGATCATGGCCTGTTGGCTGCTGCTGAGCCCATCTCCTGCTTCCAAGTGTGGTAACTCAACAGGAGCAGGGGCAAGTAGACAATCTTGAGAGGGTTTGATGATGATGTTGGCCAGCCTGGAAAAGACAAGAGTTTAAATATTTCTAAGTTAGCAAAAATGAACAAGATGTACATCTGGTATGAAAACTATCATGTAAAGCTTAAAAGATTACAGATGCCCATAATTGGATATGTCCAATTACACCACTGACTGTTAAAAAATTCAGGGTTGGGGGATCGTTCTCAAAGCAATGACAACTCCCAAATGAACCACAATATAACACTAATATTTGTAGGGAAAATTTTGCAATGCCCAAAGCTTCTCTGTCCAATCAGCAATCCTCATAGCTTGACAGTGATTATCAGTTAGTCTTGGGACCCACTGGGTTATATTACTTCATCTGTTGAGTCCAGTGGATCTCAACCTTGGTTGTAATAAGCTGAGGCCTCATGCTCAGAGATTCTGATTTGTTGGGCTAAATATGAAGCCTTATTCCCCAGGTAATTCTAGGGTACAGCCAGGAATGAGGCTTAATCATTAAATTAAGGCCTTGTACTTGTTGAGATAGAGCACTAACTTAACTTATAAACAGCAAATGTTTATTCAGAATATACTATATCAAGGCAATGTGCTAAGTGCGATGGTAAATGTAGAACATTATAACATGTGGTCCCTGTGCTCAGGGACTTCAATTTAGTTCAAAAGATTGAATACAAATTTTAATCTGATCACCTAACAAGACACATACTTTTAAAAAAATTATTACTATTGTTTAATTCCCTTTCTGCTGACCCTTCTTAATATAGTAATCACTATACATGCAATTAAGATATGTCCACTTGAAAATGCTTATTAACCACCCAACTGTTTCAACAAGGCAGATAATACATTTCATATGCTAGCAGACTGCAGAGCTTGGTCAGCCTCAGTCATTACTTTCAAAAGTTACATTAGAATAAGATACAACCATCTCCCATTTCTTATTTGTGTTACTCCTGAAATCTCCTTGGGTCCACAACACATTTCTATGTGTAGACTTTGCTTTGGAAATTTATGCCAATTACACGGCTTTGCCAAATCCAACCTCTCTATGCTATGTGATACTTAACATCCTTAATCTAATTTATCTAAAGCATCCAAAGTTACAAGATTATTTACATAAACATTTAGGATTGCTGAATGTGTACCTGTAGTCCTTTTTTTTTATTATGTTCACTTAACCAGTATACAGTACATCATTAGCTGTATATTACACCCAGTGCTCATCATCACATGTGCCCTCCTTAATACCCATCACCTGATTACCTGGTTACCCCATCCCTGACCTCTCTCCCTTCTGTAACCCTCAATTTGGTTCCCAGAGTCTAGAGTCTCTCATGGTTTGTCTCCCTCTCTGATTTCTTCCCATTCAGTTTTCCCTCCCTTCCCCCTTGGTCCTTTGTGCTATCCCTTATGTTCCATATATGAGTGAACCCATATGATCATTGTCTTTCTCTGCCTGATATAGTTCACTTAGCATAATCCCTTCCAGTTCCACCCATGACAAGACATATACTTTAAAAATATAACCAAAGTAAGGCTTCATTAGTCAAAGATGTAGTGAGAATCTTGGGTGCTCAAAATGTAGAGATGACCATGAACTGAAATAAGGGAGAAAGTTGAATGCATGTTCTGAGTCCCAAGGGCAGGATGAAAGTCAGAGAAAGACAGGAACAGGGAGAAAGCATTCTCAAAGACACAGCTGTTAGAATATGTGCAGCAAGTTGAGGGAGACTAAAGAGCCCACTCTGACTGATGGATTTCTGAAAAGGAACATTAGAAGAATTTGGAGAGGCAGATCTGAGCTAGAATGTACAGACTAGCGATAAATGGCTAAAGAAGTTAGGTCATTTCTGAAATATCTGGAAATAGCATCTGGAATAGTATTGAGAACTATTCATGTTCCAAGGGGTTCATGTTCCAAGGGACCTTAGTAAATTTACTGGGTTCTTAGTAAATGCCAGGCACTGATAATGCTTGATGTATTATGTATGTTATCTCATTTAACACAAACATCTGGTGAGGCAGTTATTGTTATCCCTATTTTATAGAATAAGAAGGGAGGTCACTTCATTTTCTCAAAGTTCCACAGCTAGAAATAGTAGGTCAAGACCAGACAACATGCTGTTTCTTTAGAAACACAGCACTACCAGAGTTACGTACTCACACTTAGGGTTTTTAAAAATTGAGATATAATTCACACACCATAAAATTAATTAAAGTATACAATTCCGTGGGTTTCAGGCAAAAGGTTGTGCCATTATTGCCACTATGAAATTCCAGAAAAATTTAATCACCCCAAAAATAAATCCATTACCCAGCAGGAGTCAGTCCTCTTTTGTCCCTCTTCCAACTAACCCCCCTTCTGTTTCTATGCATATGCTCATTCTAAATATTTCAAATAAATGAAATCATGCAAAATTTGACTTTTTTGTGTCTGGTTTCTTTCACTCAGCATAGTGTTTTCAAGGTTCATCTACGTTTTGTTGTGAATCAGTACTTCATTCCTTCTTATGGCCAAGTAATATTCCACTGTATAGATAGATCATACTTTATTCATGATGGATATATGGGCTATTTCTATTTTTTAGCTATTAGAAATAATGCTCCTATGACATTCATTTACAAGTCTTTTTATATTGTGGTAAAATAGAGCAACAAAAAATTTAGCATCTTAACCATATTTTAAATGTAGAGTTCTATGCATTAAGCAGTCTTATTGTTGTGCAATCATCACCAGCATTACCATCTAGGAATTTTTTTATCTTCCCAAACTCAAACTCCACCACTGTTAATCAATAACTCCCCAGTCTTCCCTCTCCCAAGCTCCTGGCAAATACAATTCTATTTTCAGTCTCTATGAATCTGACAATTCTAGGTATCTCATATAAACAGAATCACATAATATCTGTCCTTTTGTGTATGACTTATTTCACTTAGCTCAATGTCTTCAAGACTTGTCCATGTTGTGGCACATGTCAGAATTTCCTCCCCTTTAAAGGGTATTCCATTACACGTATATACCACATTTTGTCTGTCTATTCATCTGTCGATGGACACTTGCATTGCTTCTATCTTTAGGCTATTGTGAATAATGCTGCTTTGAACATGGGTATCCACTGTAAGTTTTGTGTGTACATACATTTTTAATTCTCTTGGGAGTGCAAATGCTGGGTCATACAATAATTCTGTATTTACCCTTTCAAGGAACTGCTAAACTGTTCTGCAAAGTGAATGGCTGTGCCATTTTACATTCCCATCAGCAATGTATGAGGGTTCCAATTTTTCTTCATCCTCATCAACACTTGCTATTGCCTGACTTTTTTTTTTTTTTTTTTTAAAGCCATTCTCACGGGTATGGAGTAGTAAAAGATTTAGCTGTTACAACTTATTACATTCAAGATACTGGCTTATTGCAGTAGTTCAGATATAAAGTGAGGAGTCTGAACAAGAGAGTGGCAGAGAAAATAAAATGATCAAGCAGGGAAATATTACTGATTGGGAAAGGAGTGGATATTAGTAGTATTGTAGGTATAGGAAGAAAAAGAAAGAATTGTAGAAGTAAAGCTTTGAGCTTGGCTGCAAAGAAAAATAATGGTATTAATCAGAGATAATTCTAGAAAGAAATTCGAAGTGACAAAATAAATAGTTGATGTGATGGACTTGAGAATCTATGTAATCCAATTAAATAATTATCAGATGGGAGGTCAGGGTTAGAGACAATAAAATATCTTGTGTTTTTAGAAAGCGTCAAAGAAGCATTGGTAAGCCTAGAAGAGGGCTTTTGCCTGGACATGTCTAGTTTCCTTAAGGCTGGATTTACTTAGGGGCCAAACACTGAGAAATACAGAGCAAGACTATACATTTGCTTTCCTGTTTTCTCTTTAAAATACTAATGTAAAACTTAAATAGTAAAATAATACATGCTTTACACTCAGAGGTTTATCAGAACTTGAGCTGTAAGTCCCTTGAGGTGGTATCAGATTTTTATCTATAGTTTGAGGCATGTGGGACAGCAGTGCCCTTGGTTCAGAATGGTGTGAGCAGGCTTAGTGGTACTGCCCTCTAAGGGCTGGCACAAGATCAAGAGGCCTACAGAAATGAATGTTGCTCCAAGCAGTTATCTGGTTGGCTGAAAACCAGCTGGCAAACTATCAAGGAGAACATGAAGTTCTAGTTTTCTATGCCCCAAATAGCCCCCTTAAAAAAAAAAAAAAAATCCCAACAATTAGAATGTACACCCATAAGAGACCACAAGTCTATTGTTACAACACAGTTCCTTAATGGTCAATGATCCTGGCTTTGTTCAGTTTTGGAAAATTTCCAAAATAGTAACATTCAGAAATCAATGCAGTGATGACTCGCATACTTGGTTACCTGTTTTGAAAGAAAAGTTTAATACTATTTAGGATGCTATGGTAAACATTCTCAAAGAAAATGCAAAACACTGTCAGTCAGCTTACACACTGAGTTTTCCCTCTGACCTAATACACTGAGATTATACAAAAAAAAAATCACCCAGAAGGCACAAGAGAATAAACACAAAGGGTAACTGCTGAAGACAGAGGTTAAAATAAGAGCCATAGAGGAAAAAAAAAAGTCTAAGAGGGAAAGCCAATGAATACATTTGAATGTTCTCACTCCCACACACATATCTACATTTTTAATGGAATGAAATAAACCTCAAGGTCAAAGTTGTAATCTTTCTGAGGATAATGTGGTTCCAAGACAGAGTTTTGTTTCCTAAATTAAAGTCTATTCTGGTATATTTAATCTACATCAACTACTCACTGCCATTGTTTTTAAAAGATAGTATCTATTTTCTATAATATTTTCCAGAATGTAGATGAAAAAAACAATGACAATAAAAATTGCTACAATTTATCGAATGCATGCTTAATCATTTAATCTTCAAATTATTATCATATTCTCAGCCATCTCCCTTAGCACACACTTTGTAGGTGGCAGGCTGCTGGAGCTTATGCTCTTACCTACCACGCTTCACAATGTCACCAGCTGGTAAGAGATACAGTAAAG